CCCCAAAACCCCAAAACCCCAAAACCCCAAAACCCCAGAGGTTCATGAATCGATTGACGGTAGTTATAGATGTAGAGTTTGGGAATATGGGGAGTTTGGAGGGGTAGAAAAGAAAATAAGAGAGTTTTAGAGGGTGAGTGCGGATTAGGGAGATCTGGCTCTTGAATAAGTTGCTTTTAGAGGTAATAGGGATGGAATGAAGGAATGGTAGGTTTAGAATGAGTTATGAGAGTATTTTCATAGGATTTTTTGAAATAATTTTTAGCTAGAGGAGGTAATTTTAGATATTTTTAATATTTTGGAGTTATGATTATAATACAATCGAGCTTTTGCCAAGTCTCACTTAAATCCTTTAGTAAACTTTAAGAAAACAGAATTAATAATCAACAAAAGCTTATTGACTCTTATTGAAAACTTTTGAATAGAAAAATTATTTCATAGTACCTCCACATTATTCAGATTCTCATTATGTTGTAAATTTCACAGTAGATTCATGAAAATATCTTAAAACTATCACTCCATAACTCTCTTACCCACCCTCAAAATCTTACTCAAAAAGCATTTAAAAACCTCTTTTTCTGATTTTTGAATTTCCAATTCGCTTACCATCTCTCTTCCTATTTGTAGCATATTAACTTAACTAAAATACCTCTACCTTCTTCTCTAACTTGTCAATCGACCTCTGGCCAGTTCATGGCCAAGCATTCATCCTCTACCTAAGAGACACTCGAGAAGACTCTTTTATCAGAGGGCTTAGCAAACCTAGTATACCGAGAATGACATTTTATAGAAAATGGCTCATAGCTCAAGAGAAATTCTTACTTCATGAGAGGCATAAAGGTTATATATTAGCTTAGTCTTGGGGATATATGTCAGTTTTAATTTTCACGCTTGGTAGTTACCTTCAGTAATAGTTTTTCAGCATAACTCTTTCAAACTTATTGGAAATATTAGTTATCAGGTAATATTACTAGGGTCAAATTTTATCTCAGTTTGTATCAGAGAGAATTTACTCGCTCATATTTCATCAAGAGCTCTACCATGGTTAGAATAAAGAGTCTTTAGGGTTCTTGTTGTTAGAATATATAGAAGAAACTTCTTATGAAGAATTCATATATCTTAAAAACTTTATGAAAAAAGATTCATTAATCATGGAAATTTTCAACTTTCCCAATTAACTTAAATGCAATACGAAGTCATGCTTAAAGCAAACTGTGGCTTTATGGTTGTATTATTACCTCTTGATCCTTATTAATAGGAGACTGCTGCAGCTTATAATATGTTTTTCCAATTTTCTATAATAAGAGACTTCTTCTATTTGTTTGAGAATCTTCATAATATAGTTGCCACCCTGACATTTTCATTTTTTAGCATTGTGAAAAAGATATTGGCAGATTCCAACACATTTTTTAGAATTTAGTCACCTTCTTCACATCACATTTTGATCACAGGTGCTCCTCAATCAAGCCTGATAAAAATCAGAGGTTTAGAGCTCTCTAAACCCTCATTTTTAATGAGTCTTTATTAGTTAGGAAGAGGTTGTAAACCTGAAATTCTAGGAAAATTTATTTTATTAGATTTTAACTTCATACCTTCCAGAGACTCATGAATCAAAATTTTCATAGTATCAGTAAACCTGGATTTCTTATGAAATCTATAAGTTTTGAGAAACACAAATTATTCCGACGCATATTAACAGCTACTCAATCCTAAATTAAGGATACTCCATCTCTTAATTGGATATACGAAAGAGCAGGGATAGATTCTGTATTAAAACTCTGATGAGTTAAAAATAAAACTATTACAAATTTTTACTGGCAATACTACGAATTCTATTGAAACAAAAATTAGTAGCTGTCCTGCTCATAAAGAAGCACTATTTCCTTTATAACAATCCTATTTTTCCTGCAAAATTTACAATGAGAATTTTTATATAGATTTCTCTTGGTAATTTTATAATGAAGTTATCATTATCAGATGAGCTTGACTGAAGTGTTTGCCGGTAAAAATAACTCCCAACATTCTGTAGCTCTTAGCTTATTCAGGCTCTAAATCAAGTGCCTGTTGTAAGATGCTTGCAGAATGATCGTCAAAGCATGAGATTCATAATCTTACAAGTACCTTCAAACTGTCAGACTGCATTGCAATTAAGAGCTGTTTTTGGGTAAACCGGTTTATTGTCTTTCTAAATTCTTTAATCTCTCTCCTGGTCTGTTCCCTGCAATGGAATTCAGAAGGCTTCTTAATCCCTAAAATACCAATGGTGTAATAAGCCAAGTCATCTGTTACTAATTCTTGAGGGAAAATGCTTAGTAACATTGATTTCATACTAATAGAAACTCTATAAGTGTCTCAGTTCACATATCTTCTTTGGACAATTTTATAGTTGTCAGATTTAAATAGCTTCTTGTAGAATTTTTTGAGAAGCCTCAGAGCTCTCTTCATTTCAATATCAAATCTTGGCTTTGCCCGTGCTGAATGTGCTTCGCTATCACTACTAAGTGAAGTATAACACTGTATTAAGTCCTGCTGAGATTTTCTCCTAACTTTTTGAATTTCACTAGGAATCTCATAGTTTCCACTAATATCATTTAAATTCTCAGAATAATCCAAATTAATACTATCTGATTTCTTGGAAACCCTGTTATCATCCACTTTTCCCGCAAATCTCGAACTTTTCATCAAACTTTTCTTATGTACAATCTCCTTCATCACACTCATATCCACTATCCCAAAAGAGCTCCAGTCCTTCTCCACCTCCTTCTCTCCCTATAAACCACAATTACCCATACCTCCAAAATCCCCTTCCGCCCAACCTCACTCACCTCCTCTCCTTCAGCTTGCTTTCCCCTTACAAAGACACTGTCAAAATAGGCATAACCCCTATAATCCTCTTGGAGGCCAAAAATCTGATGGCCTCTTGTAATCTCTTCGTTGCTAAAGTTCATAACTTAATTAATATTCAACAGGTTTGATACTATTTGGGGTTTTGGGGTTTTGGGGTTTTGGGGTTTTGGGG